TCTGGGCCCCTGCTAACCCCTCCCCTCCCCCAGGTGCGCTACCCCGACCGCATCACGCTGATCAGGGGCAATCATGAGAGCCGGCAGATCACGCAGGTGTACGGCTTCTACGACGAGTGTCTGCGCAAGTACGGCTCCGTCACCGTGTGGCGATACTGCACCGAGATCTTCGACTACCTCAGCCTGTCGGCCATCATCGACGGCAAGGTGCGCCGGGCCGGGCCGGGCCGGGGGGCGGGGGACAGAACTCCTGGGTTCCTAACCTCTCCCCCCCCACCCTGCAGATCTTCTGTGTCCACGGGGGCCTCTCCCCGTCCATCCAGACGCTGGATCAGATCCGCACGATCGATCGCAAGCAAGAGGTGCCGCACGACGGGCCCATGTGTGACCTGCTCTGGTCTGACCCCGAAGGTATGGCGGGTAGAGGGCTGCATGGCAGGAGAGCGGGTGGGTTATAGGTGTTGCAACTGGTCCAGGGATGCGCAGAGGGGTGGGTGCGGGGCCGGAGGTTATGTGGGGACGGGGCTGACGGAGGCAGGTCACGGGGGGGCAGGGCTGGTCTCTCACCCCGCTGCCCCCTCCCCCCCCAGACACGACGGGCTGGGGCGTGAGCCCGCGGGGCGCCGGGTACCTCTTCGGCAGCGACGTGGTGGCCCAGTTCAACGCCTCCAACGACATCGACATGATCTGCCGCGCCCACCAGCTGGTCATGGAGGGCTACAAGTGGCACTTCAATGAGACCGTGCTCACCGTCTGGTCGGCCCCCAACTACTGCTACCGGTGAGCGCACGGGGGCTGCAGGGGTGGGGTGGGCTGGGCTAGCAGGGGCTGTGGGTCGGGAGTGAGGGGCACTGGCAGAGCTGGGGGGGGCAGGGCTGGGCTGGCAGGGGCTGCGGGTCGGGAGTGAGGGCCACTGGCAGAGCTGGGGGGGCAGGGCTGGGCTAGTAGGGGGCTGCGGGTCGGGAGTGAGGGGCACCAGCAGAGCTGGGGGTGAGCAGGGCTGGGCTAGGAGGGGGCTGCGGGTCGGGAGTGAGGGGCACCGGCTGGGCTAGCAGGGGGCTGCGGGTTGGGAGTGAGGGGCACCGGCTGGGCTGGGCTGGCAGGGGGCTGCGGGTTGGGAGTGAGGGGCGCCGGCTGAGCAGTGTGTAACACCCCCAGGTGCGGGAACGTGGCCGCCATCCTGGAGCTGGACGAGCACCTGCAGAAGGAATTTATCATCTTTGAAGCTGCCCCCCAGGAAACCCGGGGGATCCCCTCCAAGAAGCCCGTTGCTGACTACTTCCTGTGACCCCCCCCCCACCTGGGCTGAGGCAGCCCCTGGTTTCCCCTGCTGGGGGGTTTGGGGGCACTTGGGGGGCTGATCCCAGCCCCGCTCGTTCCCTGGGGTGTCGAACGTGGGGCCGCTCAGAATCCAGCCCTGCTCTGGGTTGAACTGACTGTTACCTCCCTGCCCCCGTCTCCGTGTTACCCTCCCCTTCTGCAGCGCCCCCAAATCGACAGCTGATTTCGCCAGGCTTCAGTCCCCCGCCTCTTATTTAATATCGGGGCCCCTTCCCCCTGCAGCCCCGGCCTGGCTGCGGCAGGGCATCTGCCCTCCCAAACTGGATCCCACATATCGGGGGCGACCCCAACCCAGTCGGACAGCCCACTATCCTGTGGGTCACCCCACAACTTCATCTCTCCTGAGGGACCAGTTTCTCCACCCACCCCGTCTCTTTGGGGAGGGGGGGCTATTCCTACACCCCCATTTCTCTCTGGGGAGGAGCCCCTCCTGATCTGTCTCCTCTTGACATTTTTATTTCTTCGGTTTAATTATTTGTTTCCAATTTTTGCCTTTTTCGTTCATTTTAGATAAAAAAAAAAATTCTAATAAAAATGGGAAAAAAACAGAAAAAATAAAATAAAAGGACATTTGTACAAAGGATGAAAACATGGTGAGTGTTTAGTTTTCCCCCACTGCCAAGCGGGCCAGTTCCCTGCCCTGGGGCCGGATCCAAGCTGGCACCAGGCCCCATTCCTACCCCCCTGAGCCAGCCAGTCCCTGCCCTGGGGCCGGATAGGAGCCGGCACCCCCCAGGGGAAATGTGTGGAATTGTGGGGCTGGGGGTAGCTTGGGAGGGATTCCTTCCCCGTGCCTCCTGGACACCCGGCAGAGTCATTTCCCTTGTCTGTGCTGGGGGGGGGCACTGAAGCACAGAGCCAGGGATCGAACCCAGGATTCCTGGCTCCTCCCCCATTAGCCTTCCTTTAGCTCTTGCGTGTTACCGCTGGGGCGTGCCCTGGACTCGGCAGCGTTTCAGTGTAACATGACCGTGTTTGAACACCGCCACGCAGCAGCTCCAGCGTGTCTGGGGGGGGCCGAGCCTGCGGCAGTGAGGGGGATATAGGGGGACCCCCCGCCCCTACAGAGCCACTGCCTCAGCCAGCCCTGCCAGTGGTGATAGCGCACCGAGCTGGGCCCATGGAGGCTGCCAGGCTGGTCCCCCAGACAGACGGGGAGAACAGGGAGCCCTGGCAGAGGGCAGTGGGGGCGCACACAGTCCCTGGCAGTGTGGGATCGGGCGTTGCACTGGCAACCACATCCATCCTTGAGGCCCCCTGTGTTTCATAGACTCCAGGGGTGGGGGGGGCACTGGGATCGTCTGGTCTGAGCCCCGACCTGAGAACCCCCCGGCTGGGCTGAGCTGCCAGG